AATTTCTACTTCAGAGCTTATACCCAAAGTAAATGGTCAAGAGTAGTGCCAGCAAATTAAACGGTATGTTTTTGGTTTTGGGAGTTTTTAAAGCACGTTTAAAGCCATCTCTTCTGTAGGATGGTGGCTCTTTAGAAGTAAGGGTTTCTTAGAATGTTTATGCGTTTATCAAAAAATGTTGACATCACAGCAGAAATATGCCAAATCGTAATTCTGGCCAAATGTGTGTCAGTCTTCACGTTGAATTAAATGAGAATATTTTTTTAGTTCCTCAGGGATGAATGTGGTTTGTATCTGGTGTTAAAACAACTGACGCTGTTTCTGTTTGCCTGAGATGCAGTATACATGGCAATTCCTAAGCCTTTTCTGATTATAAAATATGTGTTAGCCCATGCCCTGCTCTCTGTCTGCTTGCAGCAGTGTTGCAGAACTGATACTCTCTTGAGGAGGGATCTGCGCATCATTAGAATGAGCAGAGGAAATCTATATTACAAAAGGAATATTTGCCTTTTTGGCAAAGAATGGCATGTTAACAGAATTCTTGAAGTTCATTACTAATTGTGGTACAACAGCCAAGAATATTCTTTTCCTAAGTTGGCCATCTTTACGTGGGCCTCACAGAAGGCAGTAACTCTTGCACATCTATTTTATGAATCTTTTTTCACTTACTCTGTGTGTAAAACTTAACTTGTAATTTGCCAAGTATCTACCAGCCCTCACTGAAATCTAGTATGCTCTTGAAATAGAATGCTCTCCTGTCAACAACTAGTCTATTAAAAAATTACAGTTGCTGTCAAACTGGTAATGTGAACAACCTTTGATAATGGGTGGCTATGTTCTTTCTGTAGGTTTGGCAGTTTTCCACTAATGGACCGGTATTTTCATCTCCATGCATCTCAAGTTTAACTAAGCAAGAAATATTTTTTGGCTCCCATGATTGCTTTATCTACTGTTGTAACATGGAGGGTAATTTACTGTGGAAATTTGAAGCTACTTCAAGTGTATATGGAACACCATTTGTTTTCCAAAGTGATGACTTAAAGAACAAAATTCTTTTGGCAGCAGTATCTAGAGATGGCAAAGTGTGGATCCTGAATGCCAAGAGTGGAACAGCAGAAGGAGTAGATAAGCTTCCAGGAGAGGTTTTCTCTTCCCCTGTAGTATGGGGAACAAAGCTTGTTGTTGGGTGTAGAAATGATTATGTTTATTGCCTAGATTTGTATACAACGGAAAAAAAGAACAGCTAAGATGTTAGGCTGCTTCCTTTTTCTTGTTTACATTTGTAAATTAAGAACTCACATGTGCTCTCTACCTCTCTGCCTATTTTACTGTAGGCAAGAGGTGCTCTTCGCAGACTTCTCGGGAAGGATTTTGCACCAGGCAGTGTCCAGAGTAGGTAAAGTGATGTTTGTTGACTTGCTGTACTGATAGGAGGAGGATGGCTGCTCAGCACCCAGCCGGAAGTTTCACTGTCCCTCCCTCATTTCCCAGCTCCGATTCATGAAAGAACATGTTTCAGATGGTTTGGATTTTAATGTTGTGCTTTGACCTGTGTAGTAAGAAAATAAAAGTCAGTAGTTTGGCTTCAAACACTTGCAGGACTGGGAGAAACTGTGGTAAGGTGCCATACTCTACACCTTAGAATAACATGCTTGTCTCCCTGAGGGAGGAATGTATTCCTCTGAGTTCAGCGTAGCCTGTGCCCTGAGGTTCCTTCCTAGCCTGTGCCTGGCTCTTCCATGCATCATACTGGTGTTTGTCTAGTCTGACAAGGTTCCTATGCCGTGGCAAGGTAACCCAAGTCCTTTTTTGAATCTAACTTTTAACTTGATTTCTGAAGACATAGCCTGCATTGCATATACCTGGTAGCAGTGAACTGTTTACTACAGTTTGTATAAACTGAATAGTTCATCTTTTGTGAGCCTAGGCCCTCCTTGGCTTCAATTCAGCCAAGCATATACTTAAACTCCGTTGAAGTCTGTAGGAGTTACTTCTTGTATTATAAAGTGGAGAATATACTTATGTGTATATATTTATTAAATTTCAATGACAGGTACAGTATGAGTTCCAAGATGAAGTGTGCACTGCTCAAATCAACCATTGTCAAATAATTTTTTAAGAGATTTGAATGAATGCTCTCTACAGTGTCTTCACAGAGAACTATTAATAAAGGGTTGTGTAAATTGGTTTTGGTTGTCTTTAACACCTTAAAAGGAATTACCAGTGGTCTTAGTATGCAAATCAAGTATTTGCAGTGACAAAAGTACACTTAACTGAGAGCATCTTCCTGGTTATGAGTCTTCTGAAAGAACTATAGTAGAAACTATTATCTCACTCTCTCTGATGAGCCACTTACTTTGAATTCTAACACCTTGAATTAAAAAGTAAAGTAGAAGTTGCACTGGCTATGTTGCTTCATCACATCTGGTTCCTCCATTTTATCGTTAGCAGAAATGCATAGGCAAGACACTTCTAGCACTGTAAGAAGTTCTATTTATAAAGCAAACCTGAACTACACTGTTACCAAAAGGAGACACAGAATACATACATCATTGATTAGGTAATTTTGACTGGGTTATAGTTTAATAAGAATTAAAATGACATTAGTATAATAAACAATTGCACTTTAAAACATTTGAAAAATTAAAAAAGTACACAACAAATACCCCACAATTATACATCTTATAGTTTTTATACATTACTATATGAACATAGAGGTTAATTGTATATAACCTTGTCAGAAGAAATGGTATTTTGTGTGTATAAGTTACAAAAAATTGAGACAATATACTACATAGTGGTTTGTTCGGTTCTTAAAACATTTTTGCTGTTTTAAACTTGGTAGTAATGTTTTGGTTTTATTTTTACAGATTTCCAACACTTTATCAGAAATGGTTGCAACAAAGCTAAAGCAAAGTAACACTTCACTTCATTGGTATTTAGTGCAAATTTTTGTTAATTTAACATGAAATGTCACTGTTGAACATATACACTTTAGAAATGTTTCCACCAAGTACTGTACATAATACAGTTTCCATTATTACACTAGATACCTTTATGGTTGAAAAAAAACTCAGCTTTGAAGCTTTAGATTAAGACCATCCTTAATGAAAGCTCTATTCTATGTGCTATAAATGTATTGGAAAATTGCATCCTTATGTCATGCACAATAGCACCTAATTTTGCTATGCTTTTCAGAATACCAGTATCTTTAATTCTTTAGTCCTGATTTACTTCACCTTGTCTGTATTTCTGCCTGGCTCCTTCTCCCAAGAAATAATCATGAAGATGGATTTCAGGCAGTTTAGTTCTTGTAATTACAAATACATACTGCAGGCTTATAAACTCAGAAAAAGTGTAAATTTAACTTAAGAAGCACTAATTCATGGTGCTAGCAGAGCAAAAATAATTTTGGGCCCAATTCTTTCTTCAGATAAGCTTGCAGAGGTTTACTTTGAAGGCGTTAAGTGTTTTTTTTTTCCCAGGCGTTTGAGAGCAGCATTGCCCCATCTCTGTATAAAACATTTTAAACACTTACATTAAGGGTATAAAGCTACTTCAGAGATTCTGGTTTTAAATATGAAACTGAGCAAAACTGATGGCTTAAGAGACCCAAAAAACCCCATCTTGCAGCTGCACATCTCCTCGATCTAACATGTCCATTGTGTTTGTGCTATTGTAACCATGATACTGAACCGTTGTATCCTGTTTGGTGGGAAATAGTGTATTCAGTAATGACTTTTGCTCACAAGCCCTTTTTGATTCTTGGAATGGGAGGATACGGCAGGTTTCAGTCTGTTTTCTGCATAATTTAAAGTGCTACTCCTCATGCTGCATACAGCAGTTTGGCTAAAATACTGCCATGAAACATAATGTGGTATCATTCTACAATGATGCAATTTCTTCTCATGAAAATGTCTCCGTTTATGATGTTGTAGGCTTAAAGGTTCCTTTGAGCCTTACGGTTATAAGAAGGAGACGTTCAAATTTGTTAAAGACTTCCTTGTAAAACAAACTCGGGTGTGTTACAGATTTATTTACGAGAGTGACTTTTTAAAATGTAGACCTAGGTATTTCTGTGGGATGTTGAGGACAGTAAAATTTTTATTATATTATGGACTTTATCCCTTTTTGTAAGAAGTAATAAAGTGTTCAATTGCTACAGCAGATACCTGAGATGGGGCAGGTAGACTTCTTTCTGAAGTGTTCTGGCTGTATTGGTCAAAGTACAGGAAGGTATCTGAACCACCTGAAGTTGCACCTGGAGTAAAATCAGGAAGAACGCAGCTCAAACTCTTGAGACTCTCACTGACTGAGCTTTCAGTTCTCAGTTAACTTCAGTTCTGCAAGTCTTACTCCTGTGGGAACTTACTGAGACTAATTCTACAGCTACATGAGCGCAGGAACAGTTTTACTTCAGTTCCAGTCAATTGATTTAAAGTTGTAATCTGCAATCACTGTCTCTATGCTTCTTAAATATGGCCAAGCACAAAGAGTGATGCACTTAAATGACTGGAAGAAACACTGACTCCCTGGCTTCTTTCTGAAAACTTTTTGACTTTGGTTTAAATAATGTTTTTTTGTTAAGTAGGGTGAATTGTTTTCTTCCTAGGAGTGAGGGAATATAGACAATAGTGTATTAATCCTATGATGACAGAAATTACCTCAACATTTGGATGATACCATCTTTCTACTTATCATTTGCAGGTGGAAAGATATCTCCCAAAGTTCTTCATTAGGGAAGAAGCTTTCAAATAGCAGGTAGAACTGACTGTTCATACAGTTTAACACTTTAAACAAATGTAGGAATAAGAGAAGGGAACATGCATCTTCCCTTAATTTTCAACAATGGAGTGTTGAAAAAAATTTCTGAGATCTCCACTTAAGTATTGAGATCTAAAATTCCAGAACTGAATACTCACAGAATTTTAAGGAGCTTCTGAACTGAAGTTCTGGCCCTTTTTACAATACTTGCTAAAGTTTACATCCAGTATCTGAGAATTTTTGCCGTGACCTCATTTAGCTATTTGTCAAAGCAATGGAATATATGACTTGAGTAGACTTTACAGTGAGCTAGAGCAAAACGGTAACCAGTTCAGTTTTCAGTTCTTCAGTACATGCATTTTCAGTTTTGTCATGTGTAAAAAGCTGAATAAATAAAAAGAAAGCAATTAATAGTCAGCAATAGAGATGTAATTTTACAGTTTACTTTATGATCTGTGGACAGTCACTCCAGGCTTTTGCTTTCCTCTTGGCTAACGCAAGCCAGGCTGGTTCTGTTGACACAGGGTTAGCATCAGGCGTAGAGAATCTCTTGGCCACCTCCTTTGCCAGGGGGGTTGATGGAACAGAATCTGAAATTTCCACTGTTTTTGATGGGGAGGGGGAGAGAAAAAACCCATTAGTTGAACCCTGTACTTTGTTGCAGGACTCTAGAGATTTTGCGTATTTTCTGTGAAGATGTTCTGAGCTAACACTTCATATTTATTTCCAGCCCTTTTAATTAAATCTTTATCATATTTGCAAAATAATCAAGTTAGGAGGAGCTGAGTTTCCTTTTTGAGAGGTGACTCCAAGTAAGGTAACTCACAAAAATAGGGACAAAATTTTCAGTCTTTGTGAGATCCAGAGAAAGCATTTCCAATTTGCCAGTCATCTTCTTTGCAAAAACTATTTTAACTACATCTGCAATGTAGCAAACAATGGGAAATAAAGCTGGATTTTTTTTTCTCTTTGGCAGTGCAGCTGCTGAGCACGTGTAACCCGACTGTATTCAGTAGGATTTAGATTGCCTCCTCAGATAAGAGTTCTTAAATAAGCACAAAGAAAATGGTCCTATAGTTTTCCGCCTCAGTTAACCTCTCCTTATCCTGAAGAAGTGAACCAGCTTTCTCCAATAGCTGTTTGTCACATGTGCTTTAAAATCGTAAAGACAAACAGCTGTCTCAGCATGAAAATGTGTTGAATAAGCAACTGATTTCTAACAAGCAACTTTACAGAGCAGAGCTGTAGAAGTATATTGTAGAAGTCAGGTGGGAAGATTGTTTAATTCTGAGACAGTGAATGCCCTTGAAGGCAGCCTGGATTGAAATGAGTCCTATCGGAAACCCATGGAGTAACTCTAAAAATCTTAGTTGCAGAATAACTCTTCGCTAATCCCTCCTTACATGTTTTATTTTTTATGACCCAAAAAGCTTTTTTTGTTAAATGTTCATATTCAGTCCAAATTACTTTTAGCTGCATTTCATTTTCAGGTTCTGGATGCTTTAAAAAGCTTTAAAATTGCATGGATGGAAAAAGTTGTTTCTTTTTTGTACATCTTTAATCATGTATTTTTAGCTGTAAGTAAATGAACAGTAGTAGCAGCTATTGCTGTAGACAGACACTTTGAAAAGCTAATTATTTTAAAGGTTATGGTAATTTATGCTACTTTAAAGGTTACACCCTCTTATCAGTTCCTGTTGTACAAGACTCAAGTGCCAGTCTGAAATATACCAACTTCTTCAAGTTTTGGGTGTTTTTTTTTTAATGTCCTTAGAGGAGGACTAAGCAAACTTTTATTTTAAACATGTTCTAGCCTGGTCTTCTGACTTAAATGCTCTTCTAATTCTGGGAAACCCAAATCAGTGTCATCATCCATAATAAAGAAATACTTGTATATTTGTGTAGTTGATAATGGCTACCTGGCTCCAAATGTAGCCAGTAATCACGCAGAAATGCAGTCATTGTTTCCTTTAGGGCCAACACAGTTCTATGATTTCACTTTAGGTAACTCAAAATCGATAATTCCTCCTGAATTTCCTCCTGAAACTCTCATTCTAGTGCAGCCAGACCGACCAAGGATAATTGGGCTTTGGCCCTTCTTTGATCTAATTTGGCATCATCTACTGTGCTAGAGTTTGATTTCTGCTCGAATTGACCGCGTATAACATAACATCAGACTACTGAATCTTTTGGGGTAGGGCTGCAATAGAGCCCTGTTGCAGGTTGACAGGAATGCTGTAAAGCTGCTCCAGCTGCCCACCTCCAAAGCCAGTTTGGACACTGGAAGCAGGCTAACAGGGAGCATGAACTGGGCAATCTATGCAAGATCTTAGAATGGTTTGGATTGGAAGGGACCTTTAAAGATCATCTAGTCCAACCCAAGATGTGGCAAGTAAAGTTCTCAGGGATATCTGCGCTGGCGTGCAGCTGCAGCGTGGACGTGCAACTGTTGAACCAGCTGAATATAGGCATGCATGGGGGTTGTTGAGCTTGGAACCGTTTGTAAGGCAGGAGTAGCGCTGGTTTAACCTTTACTATTACAGATCAGATAATTACCTCATTGCTTTCAATAGTTGCATTCCATAATTCTTAGCTTGGAGTGGTACGGAATAGATTCAGCTGATATGTGGATTTGCTTTCAAAGAAGCCCACGCTATTTACTGTGCAACTTGTAAAAAGGTTTCTTCAACATCTATCTGTACTCTTCGACAAAACCTTTTGCCTAGGACTAATGTCGGCTAGAGAAAGGTTCAGCAAGTCTCTATTTCAACAATCACCTTACACCACTCCAAATATTATGCCCTTTGGCGAAGTATTTATTTTAATGTGCCTGCCTTTTGACAGATAAAGTAGTAGGTTCTGGTTCCTACCTTCCATACCAAATACTTGACTGGGAGGGAGAAGTCGTAAATTCAGAGTGACAGGCTACCTTCAACTGAATTGATTAGGTTTTGCATTTTTGAATGAAACAAGACTACTCATTCCAAATATTCTGGGGTGAGTATTTCTCCTTGGCAAACTGGGAGGTGTGGGAACATAATATGTTTCATTTCCTACTCAAATACACTTTGTAGAAGTTAAGTATCATTCTGCCTCTGTGCTAACCCCAACCTAAAGGCAAAACAGTACTGCAATTGCAGTTTACAGTAAAACAAATCCCTCTAATGTGCATTAGTCATGTTCCAAAAATACTGCTGGATATGGCTTGGAGAGACAGCTTAATTTTTTTAACTTGAACTGGGACAATTCTAAGGAAATGTAGTAGTGCAACCTTGATAACCTGGGGAACCTGGTAAAAACCTGTTAAAATTACGTACTTCCAACATAATGGCCAGCACATGAGACTGGGACAAGTTGTGTTGTTCTGTGCTGAAAGCAAATGCAGGGGTAACGTATGAGGAAAAAAAAAAATCATTCATTCACTTTCTCAAAAACATGCAATACCATTTCTGAAGTGCATTATTCCTAGAGTAAATCTGAATCTCTCACTGTACCTGTCACAGATGTTGGAAGGGTGTTCGACTTTTTTAGCTGCTCCCTTCTTTCTAGTCTTGACACAGTAGTCTCAATTTTCTTCTCCCCTTCTTGAGTTGTAGATTTCTGCAGTGTGCTAGTTTTGCTGCTGCTGCTTTTATTATCTGACTGATTACTTACAGCAGCCTAGAACAGAGAAGGAAAACTGATAAATGAGAAACAGTCTGTCACGTAGTGGCTACAAGTAAGAGATGTCATACTTCATGCTTTCATTCATCACTTGTCCTTTTCTTAACCTTCCTTTTCGGCAAAGACTCAAAACACTCTGATATTTCTAAAGCTAATGGTTTAGCTAATGGTTATTACAGACTGTAAAAAAAAAAACAACCCACAAAGTTAAACTTGTCACGTTGTCATTTCAGTTAAAATATTGAACAGTTTGAGCCAGCCCTACCTGTTAAATACAGCACTGAAACACAGCGTGCATCTATGGGCAACTTCACCCCCACTGCTCTTCTCTTCTGCCAGTTATCTATATCTGTAATTACGCGCGTGTCCATCAGAAATGTGGGTGTCATAACAAACATTAAAATATACTTAGTTACCCACATAATCTCCCTTTTTACCGTCTGTGGTATCTATATACAGCATCACTGCTTGTTTTGCATCACTTCTGTACTATAAGTAGAAGTGTTTTTCTTAAAGAAAACCATGGAGAGTAAATAGCTATTTAGAGAGCAGGAAAGAAGTGATACTTGAATTCAGTGCCTGCTTCAGGCATTTGGATGTTTCACATGACGGTTTCTTTCATTTGTCTACATTTTATCCAAATAATACATCTTGTAATAAAAATAAATTCAAACTTACTAATATTCACCGATATTCACCTATAAATGAATATTCCAGCTGCTATTGCCCAAGCATTAAGGCTTAACTTCTTATTTACTGAAGCTTTGAAAGAACCATGTTGCATACACTTTTTCTGTTCCAGCACCTGCGCAGTGGTCGTGCTTATGATTGCCATTAACTACCACCTGATATTAAGGCATCAGAGTTTACACTGGAATTGTCACACTATTGCACAGTATTTTCTCCTGGAGGTCTCAGTTTTGCAAAAGGAAACTCCAGGCTTCCAGACTACTTTTTACTCACTGTCATTTTAGCTTTTATGAAATCTTACAAACCAAACATTAAAAAAATTCCCTTTCACATAATAAAAGTAGCTAACAGTTATAATTATGGTATCAGTATTTCTAATGGGCAGGTTTCTAAAGATTGTTTACATTTTCTTTAGCCAGCTTCTCTGCTTGCTTCGCCTCTCTGGCTTGTCTCCTCTCTTCCCTCGTAGCTTGCTGTTCACGAAATCCCTTTTGCTTTTGCAGCGCTAATGTAATCCAAAGGGGTTGTGAAGTTTCAACTTTTTCCATCAATTTAGATCCATCTAAAGAGTGCCTGCTCTGGAGGACTGGTTTTTCTGAAAGAAAACATGAAAAGAATTGGTTAAGTAATGCACATCTGTTGTCTCAAGCAAACCAGTACAACTTCTCTACCCTGTGAAAACTCTGGAGCTAAGCCCATTGAATGCCATGCCATTCACAGACCTTGGTGGACTCTGTCAAATCCTGAAACAGTTTTTATGCCTCAAGAATAAGACCTAATTCAACACACTCATACAGTTGTCCAAATTTATCCTTTTTTTTTGTGAAAAAGCCTATCCTGGACTCTTAGAGCTATAGCTTAATTTACTACATATTTAAGTGAAAGTGATACATATGCATTGATTGTTTACACCTCTGATGAAAGGCATCCAGCCACTACATACTGCAGTTCCCTGATTTTCCAGCCCTATTTAAGGGAAGAAGTCCAAACTTCAGCCAAATAAAGGGCACTGAAATTATGTACTCCTAGAAATGCAACCCCTCTTAAAAAAATGTGTGGTTTTTTTTTTTAAATTGTCATTTGAGCGTTTGACTTTCTGTACCATGCATGAAATTGGGGCTAGCACCCAGCATAGAGCTGTGAGTGGCAGGGAGCAGCACTGGGGTGCAAAGGTGCTCCTGCAGAGCTCAGTGAGCACAGAAACCCTCAACTGACCCTGCTCTCCCAGGCCGGCAGCTGTGCTGTCAATCCTCATTTAAAAATGGAAGTGAAAGGAAAAAGTGTAAAAAATTGTAAAAAATAAGCAGCAGTTCCACTGAGATATGGTTTTAGAAGTGTCTTGATGCTTGCAAAATTCAAGAATGGAAAAAAATTGGGATTTCCCAATTAAATGCTGAATTCCTGCCTTGCTCTTTTGAGTGTCCTTATGCTGAATGGGTAATTTTTCCTCTTGTATAAGAATACTATTTCAGGACACAGGGGCTTTTAACCCTCATCTGAAGAGCCACTATGGCTACTGTAATTGTTTTTACTACTGAAGAGTGCCTCTGAAATGCAGGCTCCTGTACCCAGCTATATTGGGTTAGAGCATTTGCCCAAGATAGGCACTATAAGGGGACTTGATCTTAATATTTTTTAAGCTAGATAATATTCCCCTAAAAAATAGAAATGTTATAATATACATTATAAAAATTACTCCCTCTTCTCTGATGACACCATTACACATGGAACAGAGTCCATCCTCTGACTGACTAGGTAACATCTCTACCAAGGAAAACACACACACACTTCAGTTATCTCCTTGAAATTAATTTTCTAAGCAGGTCACACTGGTCACGCTGAGTTTGTGTGTTTCTGAATTAAATTGTGGGGATGGGAAGTCTCATTCATTCAGACAACCCTAAGCAAAGTCGTGGTACTCCACAAATAACATGCCAGCTAAAAATTCTAGCTTAAGACCAATTGTCTTCCTCTGGACCTCCAGTATCTCATTTTGGAAATGCAGACAATAGCTAAATGACTTTTGAGAGAGACATACCTTTCTTCAGTGGCTCAGGCTTTTTGTCATTTTTTTCTCTCCATGGAATACTTATAGATGGGAAAAATGACTTCTTTTCTCTGATTTCTTCCTCTTCATTTTTGTATTCATTCGATGGCGTGGGGTGCACTGCATTTGCTCTGTCTTCTTTTCTCCAGCCACCGTCTGATTCAGCTTTAACCAACCTTTGCCCTAGCTTATCAGCTAGGTTTGATCTGTTCATTTTAGAGAGCGGAGACGATGGTGGTGTCTGGCTGGTGGGCTTTGGAGCTAAAGCAGGTTTCTGTGGGACCAGTGACTTGCAGGCTGGTTTCTCCTGAGGGTGTAAAGTACTCTGGCCAGTGGCTGGTAGAACCACTGGTGTGCCCGCTGGTGATGAAATCTCCACCACAGTAATTGAGGAGTCTTTTGAGTCTTTTACAATAACAGGGACGTTCGCTTTCCCCGTGCCAGGGGATGTACTCTCTTGTGGAGCAAAACCAGAGGATTCTTTCTCACCTTCTGTTGTAACTAGTGGGTCAGGCACACCATCAAAACTATCTCCTGCACTGTATCTTTTCTTTTTCCTTTGCTCTGCCTGTTGATCATAATGGAAACGTAAAGAGTAGTTTGTCCTTCGTAACTTTATCCCAAAAGGAGAAACGTTTTCTTCTCCGTTTGGTGCTGGTTTATCTGCTTTTTTTGTACTGTTATTCTGCTGATCTTCCAGAGCACCCAGAAGTTCTGCCTGCGGGAATTCTTTGCCTGGAGAATGAGGAAAACTTGGAACAAGGAAAGATGGAAGATCTTTTGCAAATTTACAGCCTTCTGTGTTGTCTGTCATTTCATTATGGGTTTCCATTTTCTCTTTAGCCTTTTCAGCTAAGTTATCCTTAAAAGCAGAAGCCACATCCTCCTTCAAATCAGCAGATGAGCCAGTGATTCTTCCCACAGCCACTGTTTCATTGCCTTTTGCCACACTTACATTCTCAGCATCTGAACTGTTTTTTGAAGCCTCTGAAAATTTCTGCCATGCTGGTGTTATCGAGAACTTTGCATTTGCAGAGAGGGTTTTCCTCAAGTTACCATGGGGACCACCCCGTCCTCGGGGTGTCCAGTCATCACTGTGTCTGCAGACACTTACTCGGTCTCTCTCATTATATTTGCTGTTTTCTGCATTCTTTAGGATCCTGGAGCGGATAGAAGCCCACTCAGCTAGTACGGCCTGGTTGTTCGATGTCTCTTGTGCATATTTCATTTTACTGCTGCTTGGCTTGGGATCCTGTTTTTTTTTCTGGGCCTTCTCTGGTGAAGGAATATCCACACTTTTTCTCTCTTCCGTTAAGCCAAGTAACGATTTACAAGCTGTGTCCTTTATCTGGTTCAAGTTAACTGCTGTGCCACACAGCTGTGCCCCAGTAACCAGAATAGCTGTATGGGGCACACACACAGATGACGGGAGTGTATGAGAGCCCTTGCTGGCAGCGTGCATCCTGCAGTCTTTGACGGATGGAGAAGAGAGTCCTGCTCCTTTGACGGGCATGACTGGACTCAGATTTACTTTCTGAAATATGATCTGTTTATCTCCAGAAGACACTTGAAATGTGAAGGGTCTGGATGCAGTTTGTCTTTCATCTACCTCTTGCCACCTAAGTTCTTCCCCTATCCGCTTTTGTTCCTGAGCCTCAACTTCTCTCTTCAGTTTCTGGGCTAGGACTTCTTCTGCTGTTTTATTCCCTTTTTCTGGCTGTTTGAGTTTTTGGGATCTTGATCCTTCTTGGAGCTTCTCTTCTACTGGCTGCCTATCAGCCCCTCCAGAACACAACTGATCCTTGCCTTGTTGCTCTTCCAAGGATTTTTCTTGTTGGTTTTGCTGAAGATTTTGTCCTTCTGTGTCTACCTTCTGCTCTTCCAGCTTGTTCCATTCTTGTTCATTTTGTTCCTTTTGCTGCTTCAGTTCATCTTGTTGCACACCCTCTGCACTTTCCATGTGCATTTGTTTTGTGAGCTTGTGTTTTCTCTGCTCTTCCCGTTTCTTTTTCTTATCCATTACTTGCTGGGGTTGTTCCTTCTCTGTCTTTTCTCCTTTCTCCTTCAAATGCTGTCTTTGTTCCTCCTGTTTCTTTTGTTGTTGGAGGCTCTCAGCTTCTTTCTCCTGCTTCAGTTTTATTTCAGCTTCTTGAAGCTCTTTATCTTCTAGCTCTCGTCTCTGTTTTTGTTCCTTGAGTTCTTTTTGTTCCTCCAGCCAATTTCTTTCTTCCTCCTCTTGACACTGTTTTTCAATCTCACGTTGCCTTAATTCTTCCAGCTCTAGCCTCTTCTGCTCCTCTAGCTCTCGTCTCTGTTTCTCCTCCAGCTCCTTGCGCCTTTGCTCTTCCCATTCCTGATGCTTCTGCTCCTCTAGCTCTTGCCTCTTCTGCTCCTCCAGCTCTTGTCTTTGTTGCTCCTCCTGTTCCTGGAGCTTCTGCTCCTCCAGCTCTCGTCTCTGTCGCTCCTCCCGTTCCTGGCGCTTCTGTTCCTCCAGCTCTCGTCTCTGTCGCTCCTCCCGTTCCTGGAGCTTCTGCTCCTCCAGCTCTCGTCTCTGTCGCTCCTCCTGTTCCTGGAGCTTCTGCTCCTCCAGCTCTCGTCTCTGTCGCTCCTCCCATTCCTGGAGCTTCTGCTCCTCCAGCTCTCGTCTCTGTTGCTCCTCCTGTTCCTGGCGCTTCTGCTCCTCCAGATCTTGTCCCTGTTGGTTCTCTGACTCCTGCCTCTGCTTCTCCAGCTCTTGCCTCTTTTCAGCCTCCAGCAGTCTTCTCTCCTCTTTATGGCATGTTTGCTCCTCTGTTTTCATAGACGTCTCTCCTTCAAGGAGATACTGCCTCCTCTCTTCTTCACAACGCCTTCTCTCCTGCTCTTTTTGCATCTGCTCAAGTTCTTGGTACCTTTGTTCTTCCATTTCTCTTTGTTCTTCCATTTCCACAATATGCCTTATCCTTTCAGCCTCAAAGACCCCCCAGTGATCTTCATTTCTCTTCTCCTCTGCCAGCTGAAGCTGTTTCTGCTCATCTCTGTTCTGGATTAGCTTGTCTGCTATGATGTGTCCATTATAACCTGGGTATCTGTCCCCATACAGCTGAGTTTCTAGGTCCTCTGGCTCAAATTCTGTTATTGTTAAACTTTGTGATCCCTAAAATTGGGAGACAAGTTTGGAGTTACTGCATGTTGCCTCTTGGCTTGTTATTCTTTACAGTGAACAAACAATCAGTTGCAAATGCAAAATAACTTTTTTTTTAAAACAATGATGTAGATCCAGAGTCAACACACCAACACACCCACCCCAATTTATGGATCACATCATCATATATCCCATACCTCTCACATATTCAGATAATTGCCTTTAAAAGAAAGAAAACATCCCAACAGTGATAACAGTTTAATGCTAAATATTGAATCACCATTTGATGTACATGAGCTAATCCAGACTGAGACCTGCCATTTCAAATTTACAGAAGCCCGAGGAATACAGCACAAGTTTCATATGCCTGTTCTGCTACTTAGAACTCCATCCTTTAAGCCTGAAATAATTAGCACCTGCTTAAGGGTATTGTTTTGCCAGTTTTTTCATGGCAAATCTAGCTGTTACTCGCAGAGACAGAAGCTATTGCCTGCAGAAAAGAGCTCTGCGACACTAGTCAGGAAAGAACACTGCTCTGGGAAACACAATTTGGTTGCTTTTCACAAATCCTGAGCCAGGATATCTTCCTCCATTAGCTGTGCTGAGACTCCAGTTCTATTGCAGGAACCGTGGGACCACGCAGGGACAGAGAACCTAGAGCTCCCCAGCAATACTGTACCGTACTGTACCAAGGCATGTACTCACTGCTGACTGCTGGGGCTCCCTGCCTGCCCCACAGCCCTGGCATGTGGGTGCAATACCTGCAATAAACTCAATACCGATCATCTTCGCAGCTTACTCCTTGTCTTTGTAGCGACGTTGTCTGAAGATGAGCTGCGCCTGAAGAGTGCTTCCCAGCACTTCCCTTGAGGAAAACCGCTCAGCTAATGCCCTGTCTAGCTATCATTTGTTGAGCCATCATTTGGCTCCAGTTAAACATTCTGTATAAACAAGAGGTTTAAATTTAATTTCTTCATTGCAAGAGTGATAAATGCAAGTACAATGGTGCGGAAGAAAGGACAGTGGCCTCTCCTGAACCCTGTATTAGCTGAATAGTCTTGTCCTATGTACAAGCACTGGTAAGATGTCAGGATAAAAAACAAAATAGCCATGCAGTAAGTGTGCAAAGCGAGGATTTGATAATTCACTCTAGCTGTAGCAAGAGCTGCGTTACTTCAGTCTTATTCTTTCTTATACGACAATGATATTATCACTGTCAGAACTCATGCCAGTTTTAGTGAACCTGTTTTTTTTTTCCCAACCAAATTTTGCACTCTCTGATTACCTCTATTGCATTAACAGTGGCAGATATCCTTCAGACCTTTCTGACCTATATTTTTTATTAGAAAAACTAGAATCGGAACGCTCTCCCAATGTAAAATCCTAATTGAAGTACCTCAGGTGTAAGTAGTATTTGTCTCAACTGGCCATATTAAAACTTCTTTGCATCTTCTCTCCAGCTAGGGTTTCATCTTTAGGTCTCTATCTTGATTTCAAGACAAAATGGAAGAAGCATGCATTTTGTTTTGCCCTGAAGACACAAGATTTGTCGAAGCTTTCAATAGCTATCTTTAACAGTGTTCATCACGTCTTAAGACAGTCCTCTGTCTATAGCTACTCCCGGTGCATTCAGTTATGGTTATTTTGTACCCGGCTTCAAAAGCAACCCCCCTCCCCTCACTATTTGACCAGTGATTCAATACCTTTGTTAATCTCTTGTGCTTTCTTGACATCCTCTGCTTTTTTGGCTTCACTGACATTTTGTGTTTAGCTGCACTGTTGTCTAGACGAGCAACAGCCTGGGGAACGGCATCCAAATTGATCGTTTCAATTGTGCCGGAACAGGAAAATTGTCTTTTTGGCCGAGATGATTTGACTGGAGTGACCTGTTTGCATCACAAACACAAGAAGCTATTATTAAGCTATTTGTTCCATTGAAATAAATAGATAAATAAATAATACACATACACACAAAAGCCTTTGCAGTTTTGAATTCAAAGGAGTTATTAGTAGAAAAGATTTCAAACTCTGTTTTTCCATTATACAGATCATGAACTTTGGACATGAAAGTTACAGCTGTAATATGTTCCTATTTCCAGTACTACACATTTTTATATTTTTCACTTAAAAATTACTTAGACCATTCTAACAGAAGTTTTTTCACAGTTTAGCTCCACTCAGAAGTTGTTGGGAATGGGAAGGGCAGAGGCAGAGTTTTAAGCAACATCAAACACTGGAACATTTTAAAGTTTGCTTACTGGGGAAAAGATATCTACATCTTTAAATAATTTAGATTATACACTTTAGGCAAGAGCAAGTCAGATTGACTTGTCTAAGGATTATAATAGAAGAGCTACAGAGCTGTACTGTCTGCATGGGAGATGACTACGGTATGGGATCTCAGACTGGCACAGTGCCTGTGGAAAACCTTCCCTCCACAGTCATGTGGAGTTGTCCAAGCTAGCACCAAAGAACAGCAAAAATTAAAATAAGACAATACTGGCTTTGATTGGTGCTTTTTTCTCTTGCCCTTCAAATATTTGGGTCCAGAAAGTGCAAATACAAAGTGATACAGTGAGACGCCTCTCATGAATAAATACAGTGGCACTGTATGTCTAGACGACGTGTAAGAGTGAGCCTGTAATCAGTCTCTCCCATAAGTCACTAAGCTGTCATCCTGAGACTGGTATTTGGCACAATCCAAGTGGACAAAGAAGACAGAAAAAAAAGGAGGGAGAAAACATCTTCTGTAAGGAAAGAAAATCACATACATTGTTTTCAAGACAGCTCTTTAATCTTCCGAGGTTAAACATATGCTAATTAGGGAACCAATTACTTAAAAGCTGATGAAACATTTTGCATATGGTTATTGAATTACATGGAGGCATAACAAAGTAGTAGAAATACTTATGAAAATTATGGCTCTATGATTAATACATCAAATGCAGGA